AATTATAATTTCGTTGTTACCGTGTCGCGATCAAACTTATTTATGCAGGAGCAGTATGACTTTTTATTTGTCCGTACTTTGATGAACACTTGAAATTTTGACGTTTGCGACGAACGTTTTAAGCCGTTTTGTAGATGCTGTTGTTAAATACTGACTACTGTTTCTATAATATTCTTTTATGTTATAAAGACTATGGAAATTACTTATAATAATGATGCGCACAAAATAGCTTTAATTAAAGGTTAATTCGATGCTCTCTTTTAGAGCGATGCGTTTTACGCATGGCACACAGTTAACGCCGAATGAGCGGTAACGTAATATTTTGCGTGGAACTACAAACGATAAAATGTGATTAATTGTCTCAAATTTTCAATGCCATTCCAAACATGATTTTTAAATCTCGGAAATAACTCTATTGAACAATAGAATGGATTGCATTATATAAGAGTCTATTTATTATAATACAATAATTTGAAAAATATTGAGAATATTAAGTTATTAGATTACCCTATGTATTTTTTATGTATCACGTATTTGACTGGATATTTTACTTACATCGCTTTCTTCAGATATGACGTCGCGAGGCAGTCCGTTTCCGTGCTGTCTGTTTACTTGCTTTTGACGTCTGAGGAAAAAAGCTCTACGTTTATAATTATTACAAATTATTATAATTATTATGATTCTAATAGATTTTAATGAATTTTAACAAATCATTTATGTTCATTTAGATATGTGCATAATCTGTTAAATTAAGGATACTGTGATGTGGCAATGGTTTAAATAATTAGCACAGAAGAAGACTATCTGTTATCTTTGTTATCGAGAGAAAAAGCCAGTAGGTATTTGCAACCTGTTATTAAATCGTGCACTTTGGAAAGATTAATATAGTTTTGTATAAGTGTAACCCCGAGATAATTTCTATAAATTTGACTAAAATAACCATGTCATATTTTTATATGTAAAATTGTTTGTTTTTATAATAATTATTAACATTATTCAGTATTTTTAATGTAATAAAATTAATTAACAGCAAAGTTACACAAAAGAAAGTTAATATTATTTTGCCAAAATTTATTTTTTTTTTTTTAATGAAATTTTAAATTATTTGTTACTTGTTTATATAATTGCTATAAAAGTAAATGATACTTGTAAAATTATTTGTACATATATTAAGAAAAAGTGAACTTACCCATACCAAACTTTTTTTATAAAATCAAGAAACTTCAAGAAAATGTCTACGGTAAATAGCGCACGCTGGCCATGGATTAGTATTTTTGATAATATTCTTTCGATTTTTGTAGTACTTTCTGTATTGTCAGACATATCTGGCATTATAATTTCTGAGAAAGTAAATTTAATTAATAATCAATTATATTTATACTAATAGACGAAGTACACCAATAACACAAATTTCTTCTGAATTAATATTGGAAGTGATAAAATTTTACTATTAGAGAAAACCTTCTTTGCTTGATAAAAGGAATCACGTTCTTGCTTTAATGAAATGAGTTGCTAAATTGTTAAAATGTATCTTTATTAAGGTTTTCTTCAATTCAGTCTATTAATGTTTAAAGTCAGTATTAGTGAATCATTTAGAAAGAAATATAAATAATTAACAAATTGATGTTATGAATGAAAACGCAGAAAATTTTGTAGTACCTTCCAACCTAAGTTGAACAAAGCAGATATTTTGTTTTACATTCAAAATATGACATAAGACAAATAATTAACGGATATTTTGTTCATGGCTAATGTAAACACACATACTACACACACAATTATGTTATTACCACAAATTAGAAGCGTGAAGCCCATAGTCCAATATATGCGTAGTATATGATTCATCGTAAGATTTTATACAATCTTTTTCTCTTTAAAAATAAAAAAATTAAGGTTAATTTTTCTTAATTCTTATTTATTTATTCTTAAAGTTATCATTATTGCAATGTTTTCTTGGTTATTTGAAATCAACGATAAAGAAGTTTTAAATTTATGCAAAGTAATAAAAGAGATTAATTTTTGTTTCTTCATGGATAAGAAATCAATATAGCGCCGACTTGCGCGCAAAAGAAAAAATAAAATATTTATAATATATTTATTAGTTGACACAAAAAATCGTATGACCGCTAACAGACGTTAAATGTTTCTATAGGTCTGTTCTTTATAGCTGAACTGGTTGCACTAGTTCAGAGTTTATATTTTTTCCTCCATGTTGGAAGCAGAAAGTTAGTGCAGTTAGTTCAGCTATAAAGAACAGGCCTCATTAGTAATCTGTATTAGTAACACCTTTCACATTAAATTTTACACATTAAATTAAATTATTTAATAACAGGATAAATGTGAAATCGTTTTATACACATTTGTCACACATATAATCCATAATTAATATTGCGAACAAAATTAAACATTATATTTATCCTTTTAGCACAGGATAGTTGGTTCCGAATCTTATGAATAATAAATGTTTGTCAAATCTTATTCTGATGCACAAAATGATATATTATTTAACAATACTTAATTTGAAACGATATGTAATAGTTGTCGTACAAATGATTGTTAATGACAACGAGAGGATCTAAAGAAAGGTATAAAATTCTAAAGAAATTCGACAGAATATGTTGTCATGTCAGCAGTGATTGCAATATAAGTTTATCAATTGACATAAAATATTCAAATATTGAAAACTCTCGACATAAATTAATAGCAAAGTCTTACTTAATCAATTTAATATAACAAGTATTAACATTATAATATTACTATGTTCATCTTACCAGTTTCAAACTTTTGAACGTCTGTGTTTTCTGAACGATACTGTGACAATGAGAAGCAATCGGCTCATTAGATACATACATATAATACTTGACTTCGATTTGTCGATTTGCGTCAAACTTATTGGCTTCGGTCACATATATGTTTATCCTTATAGTTTCATGATTTTCATAATATCACATTATTAACTCGCTTGTACTGTTTTTTTGGAGAGAAATCTCAAAGTAAAAAGTTTCTATGAATTCCTATCTATTCCTTTTAATTATCAGATTCAGTTTGCAGATTTTTATGTGATTAAAAATTGTAAAATATAATACACAAAAAGGTTTCCGTTCATGTGTAATAAGATGTAACACATAACGCTGTGTTTGTTATAAACGTTTTCCTACTGATTGTTGACCTGGCCTATACAAAAGAAGACATTACCAAAATTTTTAAATAAAAAAAATTTTAAAGAAATTAAAAATAAGCTCTTATAAAATATCTATTTTATATCACGAACTTGTCGCATTGTAAGATTTTTTTCTTTTTAGTAATAATAATTAGGGGATAAAAAATTTTAATATTTAGTGGATTAAATTCAAAAATTGTAGTTTTTTCTTATAGTAGGATTAGCTAAAAGTTTTCGAACATTATTCAGCGATCAAGCTTATTTCGTATGGAAACAGTTTTTTTTTGTTACGTTAATTTTTTTTTTTTTTTTTATTTGTACGTTTAAGCAAATCTCCCTGTATATTAAGAAAAAGTGAACTTACACCAAGCTACAGCAATACCCACAAATGATGTTATAACAAAGGCAAATATTATATACATTCCTTCTTTTGTGTCGATTTCTTCATATGTGTTTATTGAGTTTGATGTAGTTTTTTGAGTATGGCTTGAGTCTATATTTTTATCGTATGTTTCATTTTCTATGTGGATTGATTTTTTTCGCATTAGAATACCTGAAAAAATAAATTGAATGAATAATAATAATCAGTTTTATTTATTACTAAAACTTAATTTGTTAATAACACAAATATCTTTTGAATTAAATTGGAAATAAAAAAATTTTAGGAAGAATTTTTTTTACTTGATCGAAAAAATCACATTATTATTTTAACAAAGTGAGCTGCTAAATTATTAGAATGTATTTTTATTAAGTTTCTTCCCAATTAAGTCCATTAATGTTTAAAGTCAGTATTAGTGAATTATTTTTAAAAAAATATAAATAATTAACATATGTTTTGAATATAAACACGGAAAATAATTCAACAAAAATGTCGAAATTATATTTTACACTTAAAATATGTGACATGAAGAAAATAGTTAACGTATAATTTGCTTATGTATATGATGTAAACACACAATGTGTGATGTACATCATATACGATCATGTCATTACCAGCAATTAAAAGCAAAAAGACAGTCCATATTATTTGCTTTATACCAGGCATTGTGAGATCCTATATGGTCCTTTCCTGCTAAAAAATAGAAAAATAATTTACAATTTAAAAAATTTTTTTAATTTATACTAAGGTTTATCATTATTGCAATTATGTCTTTTAATGTTTCTTCATTCTTTGAAATCAATAATGTAGATATGTTAAATTTATGTAAAATAATGAAAAACATTAATTTTTGTTTCGGCGCAAGTAAGAAATTTAGCGCCAAATTGCTTGCAAAAGGAAAAATAAAAAATTTATAATATATATATTAATTGAGAAAACAAAATCGCGTGGCCACTAACAGACATTAATGGTTTCCATTAGTAATCTGTATTAATAACACTTTTCACGTTAAATTTTACACATTAAATTTAATTATTTATTAACTGGATAAATGTGAAATAGTTTTATATATACAGGGTGTTTTATAATGTCCGTGCCAACGCTCGTGTAAGGATAGAGTGCGGTAAACTAAATAGAAAAATCCTTTACCGTTTTGCAATTTTCGCAATAGTAATTGAGATATTAATTAAAAGGGATTGACGAATAATCGCGCGTTGATCGCGGCTAGATCGTAGCCTGTACGCTCTAGGCGTGACAGCAATGAGAATCGCATGGCAACGAAAAATAACAATGCATATCACTTCTGCTCTCGCTACGTGTTTGTCACGTTTAGAGTGTACAGCCCACGATCTAGCTACGCGCAACGCGCGATTATTTGTCAATCCCTTTTAATTAATATCTCAATTACTATTGCAAAAATTGCAAAACGGTAAAGGATTTTTCTATTCAGTTTACCGCACTCTATTCGCACACGAGAGTTGGCACGGACATTATGAAACACCCTGTATACGTTACACATATGATTCATAATTAATATTGTACACAAAATAAAACAATAAGTTTTATTTTCTAGCAAAAGATAACTGCTTTCAGTACTAATTTTACGAAAAATAAATGTCCGTTAAATTTTTTTTAATACACAACATGATGTTATTTAACATTACTAAATTTGAAATAATATGTAATAATTGTCCTATTGTCGATTGTTAATGTCGACGAGAGGATCGAATAAAAGTATAATATTCTAAAGAAATATGACAGAATATGTTGTCATGTCGGTAGTGATGCAATATAAATTTATCGATTAACATAAAATATTTAAATATTGAAAACTCTCGAAATAAATTAATAGCAAAACCTTATTTAACCAATTTTATATAACAAGTATTAGCATTATAATATCACTATGTTCATCTTACCAGTTCCAAACTTTCGAACGTCTGTGTTTTCTGAACGACACCGTCACAATGAGAAGCAATCGGCTCATTACATACATACATATAATACTTGACTTTGATTTGTCGATTTGCGTCAAACTTATTGGCTTCGGTCACATATATGTTTATCCTTATAGTTTCATGATTTTCATAATATCACATTATTAACTCGCTTGAACTGTTTTTTTGAGAGAAATCTCAAAGTAAAAAGTTTTTACGAATCTATTTCTTTCATTTGTTAGATTCAGTTTGCGAATTTTTATGTAATTAAAGATTGTAAAATATAATACACAAAAAGGTTTCCGTTTATGTGTGATTGGATTTAGCACATAACACTGTATTTGTTATAAATGTTTTTATACTGATTGTTGAACTGGCCTATACAAAAGAAGTCATTACCAAAATTTATAATTTAAAGAAATATTAAAGAAATTTTAAATCAGCTCTTATAAAATATCTATTTTATATCACGAATTTTTCACATTGTAAGATTTTCTTTTAATTAGTAATAATAATTAACGGATTACAAGTTAAAATATTTAGTGGATTAAATTTAAAAATTTTAGTTTTTTGTTATAAATGGATTGGCTAAATTCTCGAAATTTATATTGTTTTAATAATTTATTTATGCTTTGGCTATTTTATAAAAATTTAGTTAACAATGTTGTTTGTATATATGACTTCTATGACTATACATATGTATATGACATCTGTAGGAAAGTATTACATTTCGTGAAAGAAGAGAATTAATAAGACAATTAAAAATAGATAAAAATTTGTTAAATTATCCGAAGATAATGAAATTTAGTCCCGCGTGCGCGAAAAATAGATGAAAATTGCAATTAAAATACGAATAATTTGATAGAATGATATAAATTCTGGCTTTTTTGATCGGCAACCTAAAATTATTAGCAACTGAAATTGCTCCACGGAGAAAATTTTATATAAAAAATTACTATGTACGGTAGTAGCTGCGGACCATGAAGGAATTATAAAAAATTTTACTATGTTTTTCACACGTGTTTGGGTCCGCAGCTTCATGGTCCACGGTTACTGCCGTACATAATAATTTTTGCTATATAATTTTCTCCGTGTACAGTAATGTATTATTTTTAGGAATCCGAAATATATAATAAAACTTTATAGAAGAATGTTATTTTTATTGAACGTATAAAATATTATAGTTTTAATATTTATTTTACATTTATCAATTTAATTGTACAAAAGAGATTAAAATGAAGTGTATCGCTATCCTAGAACTAAATTCACGAGGTTTTCATATAAATTTGTAAGTGGATTTGAACTAAATTAAATACTTATTATACAGGTCGCTCAACACACATACAAAAATTATTAAAGTAACAAGCTACACTGTATATATAACTGGCTATGAACTAAATGTACTGCATGAATAGTTGCAACTTTAAGACCTAAAAATACATCGACATATTATATGTCTATATTTTTATATAATAAATATATATATATAGATACTTATTATACACATGTGCCGGTGATTATGAAAGTGGACTAAGTCAAAAATTTTGATGATTTTTTATTTTGAAATATTTCGACTTTATAGATCGGTATAACACAAAATAAGTGATAAATCAATTTAAAAAAATTTTTGACTTAGTTCACTTTCATAATCACCGGCACATAAATGTATATATTTTATTACATGTTATACATTCGTATTTTTTTATACGTTACAAATTTATATATATAGCAATATGAAATTGCATGTATAAAAATAACTCCAATTTTTTTCATTTTATCAATAGGCGCATTCTATAGTAGAAACACCAAATTTTTATAAATGAAACGACTTCGATAATAAATATGTACAATTAAAATAATTTTTAACTTCTAATTTAATAAATCTATTTTTTAGTAAAATAAAATGCAAGATTTATTTAGAAGTATTCGAGTTTATTTACATATTAAAAATATTTATTACTAAAGTCTTTTTTTAGTTATGTATCTGTTACTTACAACATTAACAGTAATATGTATATACATTAATCTTGTTTGAATTTAATTATAAGATTTTTTAAATTGTTTCAAATTTTTATATAAAAATTATGGATGTATTGACATTTTTATATAAAACATGACAATAAAAACTGAAGAGTTATAAAAAGTAAAAAGTCAAAATATGTGCTGCTTTTGAGAATAGCCTTCAACATTGTTGTTATAAAGATTAATTTTTAAATTAGTTGCGAACTGATTAGAAATTAACTTAGGTGTGAGAAAGCTGTTTAACATTTTTTATACAATATTACTAAAACATTTCTTTCTACAGTTAGTATTTTTAAATGCTAGGTACTATATTCTAAAAACTTTAGTAATAAAAAAATAATGCCAAAGTCAATATTTTGTCATGTTATAAGCAAGCTTAACTATATTAGTCAATCATATTGTAATGTATACGATAATAGTCTGAAGTAAAAAAACAATTAAATTAATATTAATTAGTTTTAAAATAACAATTAAAATTTCAATATGTTAATAAAAAGATACTAATTTTGACACTATATTTTTTGAAATTTACAAAATGTCACAAATAAATGAAATTTTGAAGTAACGTTAAAAAAAAAGTCAGAAAATTATCCACACACATGTATAATTTCCTCGTCATTCTCATTTTCCTCCTGAAAAAAGTGAATTGACAGTAATTTTCGAGAACAATATTTCTTTGTTTAAAAAATTAGATGATATATATTATGCCTTCATGATATAATGTAACAAATTCGTTATGCGCACATTTATGTATCAAAAAACTTATTTGGTTAATGATCAACTTGTTCTATAAAAATGTGATTATTGAATAATTATTTTGTATTATAACGATTTTATATTATAAGTTTTTATATTTGGTTTTGTCACTATTACAAAATGCATATAAATAATAGCAATTTATTGAAAAAAATAAAAATGACTGTTCGGGATTGCTGTGCAATCCGTGACAATTAATCGTCATTTATTGTTCTACGCGAAATATCATGTTGGCGCTTACTCGCCAATTGTGTGCTACACGTTGGAACGCATTTGAGCTAACAAAGAGCTTGAAACTAGCCCCCATTTAAATTTATAAATAATTTTAGTGATGTTTTTAACATGAAAATATATTCCAGAAATCGATAATTATAAATTTTGTCGTTACCGTGTGATAACGATTAACATTATTCAGCGATCAAGCTAATTTGGTATGAAAGCAGTTGTTTTCTTATATTTGGTCATTTTATTTTATTAAACGACAGATACTTTTACGTTTGCAACGATTCTAAGCCGTTTTCCAAATACTGTTGTTAGATACTCATTACTGTTTCTATAATATTCTCTCATGTTATAAATACCATGGAAATTACTTATAATAATGACTTGCACGAAATAACTTCAATAAAAGGCTAATTTGACGCTCTCTTTTAGAGCGATGTGTTTTACGCATAGCACACAGTTCACGGCGAATGAGCAGCAGCGTAATATTTCGCGTGGAGCTACAAACGATAAAATGTGATTAATTATCTCGGATTTTCAATGCCATTCCGAACATGATTTTCAAATCTCGGAAATAACTGTATTGAACAAAAGAATAGATTGTATTATATAAGAATCTATTTATTATAATGCAATAATTTGAAAATAATCGAGAATATTATAGTTATTGGATTACCCTATGAATTCTGTCACGTATATTCGACTGGATATTTTACTTACATTGTTTGCTTCAAATATGACGCCGCGAGGCTGCCCGTTTTCGTGCTCCCTTATTTCAGGCTGTCTCCTTATGGTGTATCTTTTCCTACATTAATAATTGTTATAGAATTATTTTTATTCTATTTGAGCGCATTGAATCATTTATATGCATTTACATAATCTGCTGACTTGAAAATACTGTAATACGACAATAATTTTTAAATAATTAACACAGAAAAGGACTATCTGTTATCTTTGTTATCAAGAGAAAAAGGCAATAGGCATTTGCAATCTAATATTTATTCGTGCACTTTAAAAGATTAATTTCATTTTGTGTAAGTATAACCCCCAAGATAATTTCTAGAAATTTTACTAAAATTGCCATGTTGTATTTTAATTTATAAAATTATTTGTTTTCATAACAATTATTATCATTATTTAGTTTTCTAATGTAATAAAATTCATCAGCAAGAAATGTACAGAATAAGTAGTTAATATTATTTTGTCAAAATTCTAATTTTTTTATGAAATATTATATTAATTATGATTTGTTTATATAATTGTTATGAAAGTTAATGACACATGTAAAATTATATGTATATATATATATATATATATACCATATATATATACATATATACAGAGTGATTCTTGTAAACGTACTCATTAAATATTTCGGAAAGGACGCATTATTTTGCCTCGAGGAAAAAATATATAACAGACAAAACTACAGGAAAAGCTATATGTACGAAATTTGGGAAAATTAAAAAAATGATAAGAATAAAAAAGTCTTATTTTTTGCGTAGAAATTGAATCCTAAGTCAAAATATACACTTCCCATTTGAAAATACTGAAATAGGGGTAGCATGTCCCCCAGAAAACTCGCAAGGAGCGATTTTTGGAGGTTGAAAATATTTTTATCGTGATCTACGGTATCTATGTACATAGTGTAATTTTTTTGCCCTCAAGCAAAATAATGTATTGTTTACAGGATATACAATGAGTACGTTTAAGAAAATCACCCTGTATATTAAGACGAAGTGAACTTACATACACCAAATTACAGCAATACCCACAAATGATGACATAACAAAGACAAATATTATATATATTCCTTTTTTTGTGTCGACTTTTTCATCTGTGTTTATGGAGTTCGATGTAGTTTTCTGAGTATGTCTTGAGTATATATTTTCATCGTATGTTTTATTTTGTGTATGGATATTTTGCATTACAATACCTGAAAAAATAAATTGAGTGAATAACCAATTTTATTAATAACTAATAGATAGTTCGTTAATAACACAAATATCTTTTGAATTAATATTAGAAATAAAAAAATTTTAGGAAAAACTTTTTTTACTTGATCGAAAAAATTATATTATTAATTTAACAAAGTGAGCTGCTAAATTATTAGAATGTATTTTTATTAAGTTTCTTCCCAATTAAGTCTATTAATGTTTAAAGTCAGTATTAGAGTGAATTATTTAGAAAGAAATATAAGTAATTAAGAAATGTATGTTTTGTATAGAAACGCAGAAAATAATTCAACAAAAATGTAGATATTATATTTTACACTTAAAATATATAACATGAAGAAAATAATTAACGAATAATTTGCTTATGTGTGATGTAAACACACAACGTGTGATGTACATCATATACAATCGTGTCATTACCAAGTAATAATATCCATGAAAGGATCCTTATTATTTCCTTTACAAGCATTGTGAGATTCTATATAGTCTTTTCCTGCTAGAAAATAAAAAAATTTAATTTATTTAATTTATATTTAGGTTTATTATTATTGCAATGCTTTCTTGATTGTTTGAAATTAATGATGTAGAACAGCGCTCGGAATTAGTTGCACATTTCGGACCGATTCCCGAGACGACGCCTCCTGTTCCCCCACTACCGCCCGCCTGTTGGCGGCCGAGCCGCCGATAGCTCTGGCTCAGGAGCGTTTTATATAAGAAATAGGCTGGGTTGTTGAGACACCTCTCAGAAAATAGTAATATTTTCTTTGCTACATAAATAATATTTATTTCTATTAATACATAATATATATATATTTAATTATTAATGAAAATAAACATTATTTATGTAACGAAGAAAATGTTACGATTTCTTGAGAGATGCCTAAACAATTCAGCCTATTTCTGATATAAAACGCTCCTAAGGCAGAGCTATCAGCGGCTCGGCTGCCAGCGGCCGGGCGGTAGTGGGGGAACAGAAGGCGTCGTCTTGGGAATCGGCTCGAAATGTTCAACTAATTCCGAGCGCTGATGTAGAATGCTAAATTTATGTAAAATAATAAAAAAGATTAATTTTTATTTCGTCGCAAGTAAGAAATTTAACGTCGAACTGCTTGCAGAAGGAAAAATATAGTATATTTAAAATATATATATATAATGTGAGAAAAAGAAATCGCGTGGCCACTAATACATGTTAAATGTTTCCATTAGTAATCTGTATTAATAACACTTTTCACGTTAAAAAATTTTATTACACGTTATATTTAATTATTTAATAACGGAATAAATGTGAAATAGTTATATATATATACGTTACACATATGATTCATAATTAAAATTGTACACAAAATGTAACAGTATGTTTACCCTCTAGCGAAGGATAACTGCTTCCAGTACTAATCTTATGAATAATAAATGTTAAATTTTATTCTAATACACAAAGTGACGTGATGTTATTTAACATCACTCAATTCGAAACGATATGTAATAATTGTCGTATAAATGATTGTTAATGTCGACGAGAGGATCGAAAGAGAAGTATAAAATTCTAAAGAAATTCGACAGAATATGTTGTCATGTCGGCAATGATTGGAATATAAATGTATCAATTACAATAAAATATTCAAATATTGAAAACTCGACATAAATTAATAGCAAAACCTTATTTATGCAATATAATATAACAAGTACTGGTATTAGCATTATAATATCACTATGTTCATCTTACCAGTTCCAAACTTTCGAACGTCTGTGTTTTTTGAACGACACCGTGACAATGAGAAGCAATCGGCTCATTACATACATACCATACATATAATACTTGACTTTGATTTGTCCATTTGCGTCAAACTTATTGGCTTCGGCCACAAATATGTTTATCCTTATACTTATCCTTATACTTTCATGATTTTTATAATATCACGTTATTAACTCGTATATGCTCTTTTTGGAGAAGAATCTCAAAATAAAAAGTTTCTACGAATTTATTTCTTTCAATTATCAAAATTTGTTTACAAATTTAAAGGTTTAATTAACATTAAGTAATGTACATTCTATACATGACTTCTATAGGAAAGTATTACATTTCGTGAAAGAAAAGATCAAATTAGTAAGATAATTAAAAACAGATAAAAATCTATTAAATTATCTAAAAGTATTAAAATTTAGTTTCACACGCGCACGGAAAATAGATGAAAATCGCAATTAAAATTCGAAAAGTTTGATAGGATGATATAAATTCTGGCTTTTTTTTGTGGAAAACTTAAAATCATGAGCAACCAATGTATTATTTGTAGTAATGCGGAATATAATAAAACTTTATGGAAGAATGTTATTTTTATTGAAGATATGAAATATTATACTTTTAATTTTTATTTTACAGTCATTAATGTAATTGTGCAAAGGGGATTAAAATGTAGTGTATCACTATTCTAGAACTAAATCCACGAGGTTCATAAAAAATCATCACACACACACGCGCGCACACAGTTTGCACTAAATTAAATACTTATTATACAGTACGTCCAACACACATACAAAAAATATTAAAACAACAAACAATTATAAAAGTAATATAATATAAATTAACTGGTCAAGTTAAATGTGTTACATGTATAGCTGCAACTATGCATCTTAAAATTTACCAAATTTCGTTCTTTTACAGTAACATATACGTATATTAATTGACAAACTAATATGGCTATTCCAAGACGTTAAATGTTCCAATTAGTAATTTTTGTCTTATTTTTCTCGTTAAATTTCACGTATCAAAATTATGATTGAAACTTATGATCCATAATTAATATTGTGCACAACACAGAATAGAACATCTACTTCACCGAAAAAATTGTATTCTTATCTTAAGAATATTTCACTTATATTTATATCTTCCTCTAAAATAAGCGCCAAGAAGATCCTCTTAGTTTAAGAGAAAAATCCTCTAAAGAGTATCAGATATTCTTAATGTGTAAATAAATATGCTAAATAGGATTTTCTCTTAGCATCATATTATTTAATATTTGGAATCGTTAAGCATGATAACAAAAAAGTTTTAAAAGTGGATATTTGTTATTTATTAAATCTTTAAGAAAGTTATACTTTTTAAGAAAATACATTTTTTTGTATTTATTCATTAAGAATATCTATTAAGAGGGCTTATTTATTAAGTATATATTTCAAGAATACAATTTTTTCGATGTTTCTAACAAAGAATAATTAGTCCCATTACTAATATTATTAATAATAAATGTTTGTGAAATCTTATTCTGATACACAAAGTAATATGATATTAGTAGTAGTAGTAGGCCATTCAAGGATGGCCAAGACCTCAGCTTGAAAGACTGAGGCTAATTCACCCATCGGAATGCTTTGTCTATGGTCTGTCTTTAGGCCATAAATGCCCGCACTGAACCGGCCGTTAGATCCCGATTCGTCTGTATACCAGAACATGATATTATAACATTATTTAATTTGAAATGATATGTAATAGTTGCCACATAAATGATTGTTGATGTCGACGAGCACCGAAAGGAAAGTACAAAATAATTCGTAAGAATATTTTGTCTTGTTGGCAATAATTGCAATATAATTTTTATAATAAATTTATCAAGTAGCATTAAAATATACACAGATAGGGTAAATTCTCAACGCTACTTAACACCAGAAAATATTATTTAATCTATTTAATATAAAAATGATTAACATTACAATATCACTTTGTTCATCTTATCAATTTGAAACTTCCTAACGTCTGCGTTTTCTGAAGTACACAGTGATAATGAGAAGCTATCGACTTATTATTTGCATACAAATAGTTTTTGACTTTCATTTGTCTATTCACATATAGGCTACTTATTGGCTACTTGTATTTGGCCACGAGTACGTTTTTCCTTAGATATCCGTGATTCTCATCGTATCACATGATTAACACTCATATATGTTGTCCCTCTTGACAGGAATTTTGAAATAAATTTTTTGTATCTATTTCTTTCAATTATTTGCAGGTTTTTATTTGTTAAAATATCATAAAGTGTAACACAGAAGTTTCTGTCAATGTGTGATTACAATAGATTGACTTATAACATTATGTTTGCTATCTATGTTCTCGTACTGATTGTTGAGCTGACCTACAACAGAAGAAAAAATAATTACTTAAAACAAATTTAAATTAAGTTTGTAAAATTTCTACATAACGTCATCTATCCTTTACATAGTAAAAATTATTTAGTTTTATAACACAAAAATACATTTTACTTCAATCTCTTCTTACATTTAAAATTATAATACGTATATAATTACGATGATCTACTTACAATTAACTATTTATTCTTAATTTACATATTTTCTATTGAAACCATACCGTATTTTTACTTATTACAGCACAAATTTCAATGCGACAGAAATGGAAATAATAAATTTATCGCTCACGATACGAAGTATCGCGGAGCAGGTGAATCGCCGAGAAAACCTGCAGATTTCTTAAAGAATACATGTTCCAAATACATGTATGAGCATCAGCGTGAAATTCAGATGGTACGATAGTATGTATTACATATAACACAACTTAATTTAAAAAGCTTTTGTCTTAGTTTTTTTTCTTGGCTTTTTCACCATGTTCAGTATCTTATATATTTTATGCGCCGAAATACTGTCATGTGTGCGACAAAAGAGTTGTAGTAAATATTTGGAATGCACACATTATGTCAGTGGTCTTCCTTGATATGTAATATAGGAATACGTGAGAAAGTACGAAGAGAGGTATTGTGTAAATGATTGTTATCGAAACGATGATAATTACACGTTTTATATAATCAAAATTGTTTAGACATTATTACACACGATTTCATATGATTACATGTAAAAGGAAGTACTTTTACTCAGGTTATCGATAAATCAAAGTACGAGGGTCGACAAGAAAGGAATGTATCGGATGTTTATAATTGCAAACAACAGAATGCTATGTTTTCCGCAAATAAGCAAAAGATCACGAGAAAATCAAGATATCTCGAAGATCAAGATTCGGCCAAGTCTGAAGAAGAAGCAGCTACTACGATACAGGCTACGTATAGAGGATACAAAGTTAGAAGAAAATTTGACGAAGTAAGTAAAAATTGATCTAATTTGCATATGTTTTGGAAATAGTAGAAAGAAATTTTTTATAGATATATGTTTTTTCTTTTTTTTAAGTATTATAAAACATTAATTATCCTAGACAAAAAATAAAAATATAGAAATAAAATTTTTGATTTAATAAAATTATAACTACAGTTAATGTAAATAATAATTACATCTTTGTTTCTTTATTTTTCTTCTGTTACTGAAATATTATTATCATGAACACATGATAGAACTATTATGATAATAATTATCTATTCTATTATTATACAGATTAAAAAATCGTCCTCGGAAGAGAAGCAGAACACACAAAAAGTAGCAGAGCTGTTATCTGTGTCAACAAGCCAATGCAATCGATTACTTCAAAAATCATTGAATCCGATCAAAGTGTCAAACAATGTCGCAATGAATCAAAGCAAAAACGCATGACATCGTATCTAAAAAAATTAAAAAATATTATATGTGCAATGTAACAAATGTTTAGTAATAAAAATACGTATATTATTTTTTATAAAAAATAAAGTTATTTTGTTTTATATATAAAAGAAATTTTTTATAGTTTTTTAATGCACAATACTAATTTTTCATTATTATTATTTGATTATCGACTATTTACAAAATGTGACAAAATCCAGTGTCAATATTAACAGTTATATAAAAGTTAGGCAATGATATACATGACAAAGACAAAATGACGATTTGCCATAAAATCCCGAGCTAATATTCTTTATGATAATTATTAAATTATGAAATACGAATATAAACTAATTTTTATAATAAACAAAGATATAAGTTACGAAATAGAAATATTTAAAACAGCTTTACAAGTCAATATGACTCACGATCAAAAGTGCAAAATACACAGATATATACAGGGTGTCCGGTAACTCACGGACCAACGCTCGTGAGCGGATAGAGCACATTAAACAGAACAGAAAAATTCTTTACCATTTTGCAATTCTCGCAATAATTATTTAAGTATTAATTAAAAAAGATTGCCGAATAAGCGCGCG